AATGATAATAATACAATATACAACAGTAAAAATAAATACAAACTTAATAATAATACAATATAAAACAGTGGATATCCAAAACCAAAAACTTACTACCAAAATAAAAATGTTTAAAGGTTATCCTACATCTAAGCTTACTTATACTTATCTATAGGGAATAGAGAGGGAGAGAAAAAGTCAGAAATGTTTGGGGAAGGGGAGTGAACGCAATTATAAAAAAAAAGAAAAACTGGGGGTTTCACTACAGCTTCAGTTGCTGATTCGATTCAGAGGAGATTTGCCCTGATTCGGTGGCCGAATCTCTGACTCCGAATCAAATCAGGAAACCCATTAATCTCTCCAAATCGAATCAGAAGCCTCCAATTTCAGTCGGAAAGATTCAGAGAGATTCAATGATTCAGCCATAGACGCAGCTTGATATGTTTTTTCTACATACATCAAGGTACCAGGTGCAGCTTCTGAATGCTGAGATGGTGGGGCTGATGGAGCGTCCCCCACATGGTCAGCAGCAGACCCAGAAGTGGGCCAGAAGTACTTCCGGTCCAGTTCTGGGTCTGCCACAGAGTGTGTGGGGTACTCCCCACCCCTGGCTCAGCAACCAGTGTTTCCTGAGTTTGGGGGGGCACCCAGGGTCCCCCCACAGTCAATTGCCTAGCTGGAAGGATGCAGGTGGGGGTCCATCGCTCCCATGGGATGCTCCATCTGCCCTACCATCTCAGCGCTCACAAGCCACACCTGGTACCTCAAAGTATGTAGAAAAAACATAAAGCTGTGTCTATGGCCGAATCGCTGATTCTTCAAATCAGAATTGAATCTTCAGATTCAGCCGAATCAAATCAGGACAGTGATCTGATTCAGTGAATTAAATCACTGTCCCCAAATCGCCAAATCTGAATCGAATACTTCCTGCTTTGTACACCCCTAGTATTAACCAAACCAACCCCGCAAAAGGTCAGAGATAAATTCTTGAGTGTAGCTATGAATGCCACCTAAGCTCAGTTAGTTGAGAAGGCTCTCCCTGGATGAAAATTATCCTGAGCTCTGGTAATAAGACAAAGTTAGCTGTTGCTCACAAATGCTTATGCATCTCCAATTCAGTTAATCTCTGAGGTGCAACTCTATCCTGCCTTCTGTCTAGGGTGGCCATTGGTCCCATTTTATACTGGGCTCTCCTTTGTTTTTAAATTGCAAAATTCCTATTTTCACTTCATTGATGGAGATACATGTCAATTATTTGTTCTTGCAATTCTGCTAGTTGTCCCTAGAGGTAGGGCTTTGCACAGCCAGGAGGAGCACAGAGGAACGGTGGCCAGGGCGGGAGGGAGGTGACCCTTTTGTGGTGTCCCTGCCCCTTGCTGCTGATTGGCCAGTGCAGCAGGCCCGCCTCCCACCATGGTGCATCCACCTGCACTTCCCACCAAGGGGATGTGTCAGTGGCCACACTACTTCCATCTGACAGTAAGAGAGAATACCATACTACTAAAGTAGGGTATTACCACCCCTTTCTCTTAATTCTGTCATTCCTGGGGTCAGGGCAGAAGAGGCCAAACACAGGTATTTTTTAAAAGACAATAACCAATTTCTGTCACCCTCTTAGAACTGCATATAGGGGCTATTACTGAACTTGAACTATAATGATGCCTACAGTTTCTTCACAGGCAAAAAGGTTGTAAGTAGGGTAGATCTGTTTTTTTTAATATAACAACATTCTTTGAAGATTATTTCATTTCCCTTTTGGAAATGGACCAAAGATTTCAATTTAGGACATTTTCAAAGAGTATTTGCCTTTTGATCCTCTTTTTAAATGTTAGGAAATTTAGTTTTTAAAATGAAAAAAATAGGCTTGTTATTTTTTGTGGGGTTAAAATAAATATTAAGTCCAATCAGCGTTGACCATGGGGGGTATAAAAACCTCCAGAGTATTAATTTTTGTGTACAGCAACATATACAAACTGGAAATGATAAATAGCAAATCTGAAAATTGGAACATTCAAAACAATGATCATGTTCTCACAGGAACTTTTCTTTTACAAAGTCCATTTTCATTAGAAAACAAAACAACAACAAAAAACAAATTTACTTGAAAACTGGTTTATCGTCCCTACCCTACAATGATGGATATAGTTACATATATAAGTGAGCCATTTCAACAAGCAGTCCCCCTGTTCTGCATTTCCAAAAACCCTTTTGTTTTGCTTGTTTGTTTGCATTTTGCAGGAAGCCAACCTTCTGTTTGGCTAGGTAAATATACTGCAGAGCCCGCTTCTGCAGCTATCTGGTGGCTATATAGCTTCAAGGGAGGTGTAACATTCTGACTGCATAACGCTCTAATGACACAGGATGAAGGGTTCCTTATCTTATAAATACACAGTTATGTAGTTTTTTCCCAAATTACTATTATTTACTAAATAGTCTTTAATAGCTCCTTTGAGGACATTATCATGTATTATGTCAGGGCCTGTACTTGGAGAATTTTTAGCTTGTGGATCATTGACCCAATAAAATTCAATAGCGCCTTTAAAGTGTTACGGCATATCAGGTCATTGAGAGATCGGAGAGGGAAGGAGGAGGGAATAAGAGTCTTATGTGCATTAGTACCACTTGTTAAAAACCCTGCTGAAATGTTTGATGGAGAAAATGTATTGTTCATACCCATCTGTCCCAGCTGTTTCTAATGAAGAGAATAAAGCTCATTTGTATAGGACATGAGGTTATTGCTTTTTATGAGCTAATAGAATTTCCTTTTGTATAAATAAAATGTTATTTAAAAGTAACAAAAGATTTTTGAGTGTGACTGTTTATATAAATATATAATGCGTATTAAGTTAACTTCAGATCTATCCTCAGGTTTTGGAAGAGTGGGAAAAAGTAAAACAATATTCCAGAAGGGATCTGGAATTATTATCTAATCTAGCTGTATTGCACTCATCACTCTGGTACCTGAGCACCTGAGGTTTATTACTACTGAATATTGGTTACTATTACCATATGCTGCTATTCAGGTGTAGCATATACCATATGCTACATTATATCTTCCCTGTTATCTCCCAGCCTAATATTAAGGAACATTAAACCTAGGACAGTTGTTCCTAAAAGTCATTTATACATGCAAGGTTGACACATTAAGAATAGTTTCTATACAGCAGTGATTCTCCTTTGGAATCTTCTTTATAGATCCATTGAATATAAAATTGTTTCTTTTTTTACCCTTCCAAATTAATTTTTGTTCGAGAGAAAATTAGACAATGCATCATGCTTCTGTAGCACCTTTGCTTTGATGGATTTGAAATTTCTTAACAATGTAAGTTGATTAACGTTCACACACCCTTTTTGAGATGGATGATCCTTTTCTCTTTATATTGAGCCAAACTAAATGTGAAACATCTTTGTGGTTGGTTTGCCCTATGTATTGCATGATAAATTGGTTGAATCCCTCACATGTTAAATTTATCATGCAATTCACACGTTAATCATGCAATAACTGAAGCATCTACCAGGGCTTTAAGAATATGTACTTGCTGCATTGTAAACTCAACCAGTATCTTGAATTTTGCGCCCAGGCTGACTCGCATACAAAGGCACAAATCTCTGGGTGGTTGAGATAAAGCTTGAGTGCTGCAGATGCTAGACACTGGACCTAGGAATTCAGCAAGGACACAGCAACTCAGAGTCACAGCAACTCTCCAACAGCTAAACATTCACTTTGGGCGTGTCTACATATGCACTTTAATATGCATTAGCCTATTTTAATGTGCATTAAAGCATCACAAAAAACCTGTGCCCTTTAGCTAATGCGTGTTAAAATTGGATCATGCACATTTTTCTAGTATCTCACAATGAAGAGATTAGATTTAAAGCACATTACTTAAAGTTCATTAATGACTAAGTAAAAGTATCCTTTGTGCTGCTAATCTGGTTTGTGCAGCTCCAGTGTTGTTTTTTGATGTGGTCACTCCCATTTGGAGTAGCCTAGCTCCTATCTAGGAACACCCATGTGCTATCTGTAGCCATCTGTTACAGGGAATATATAAAAGTCCTTTATGTCCTGGAAAATGTTTCTCAGCCACACTCCTCTGGGCTGAATAGAGAAGAAGCAGCCTGTGGCCTGGTTTTCTTTTCTTCTAGCCTTCTGTGTAGAGGTTGGATAACATTGCTGAATAGCTATTTAACTAAATGTGATCAACTTGGTTAGCAACTTAAGCTAAACTGATAAAACTCTGAGGCTATACTGGCTTATATTTATCATTAATTGAAGGAGCTTAACTTGATTTTTAAATCCACTTAGTTAAACCAGCACACATTCTTAATATAGACAAGACCTTGGCCCTAAAGAGTTGTCACGTTTCTTGAGTTCAAGAACTCTCATTTTGTGATTAATAGGTTAAGGATTGAGAGAGAGGCTTCTTGTGCCCTTTCTTGCCGTCTCTATTGCAAAGTCACCCAGGGGCCAAAAGGAATCCTGATGCAAGTGGCGATATTGCAAATCTGTTTAAAACTTGCCTACTCCAGGACAGTCGGGAAAGAGAAAACTAATTAGCAAAAACTGAAATTCATGCACAGAAATTACAAGTAAGTTAAAGCTCTGTGTGGACACTCTCGCACATTAATTTTACATCTATAGTTGGTTAATTTGTCATGCATTTCCAGAGTGCCTACAGGTGTACAAGGTCCTATGTTGTAAGTACTTTTGAGGCAGGAATTTTCTTTTTGCTCTGTATTTGTACACTACCTGGCACAATAAGGTCCTGATTCTCAGCCAGGGTTTCTAAGCAGTGCTGCCATCCAAATAATAAATCTGCTCAGAAATGATTTCTTAATAACATTCTCTGGAATAATCAACGGAAGTGAAAATAAGTTCCAGTGTTTTTAGGCTATGTTGTTTGTAAGGCAGGAAAAGGGGGCTTCCTTTCTGCTTAGAAAGATGTTTATGCATTTTGCATACCACTACAGTCCATCTGCCTAAAATTTAACAGCTTGATTTGGGTTTTATTTCTCATTAGATCTTCGGAAGACTTTTGAACAGGAACCCCTGGGGAAAGAAGTGTCTTTGGAACAGGAAGTCCTGCTCCAGTGCCGTCCACCCGAGGGCATCCCAGTAGCTGAGGTGAGTGACAACAGATTCCAGCACTAGCAACTGACATTTAGTTATCCTAACTGAAGCCTAATCCATGGCTAATGGTGCAGTGAATTAGGGTATGACATGATGAATGGGTAGTAATGGAGACCTAACTGCCTGCTGCTGGTAGAAGAGATTGATTGAAAACTGATTAATGACGTTGGAGTCAATTAGAATGCGCCACTGGACAGAGCCACAGCAGTTCAGTTTTATTTGTTGTTCCCTTTCAAAAAACACAGCAGTGTTATATCTGGCATCCATGGGATAAAATACCTGTGGGGATTTATGAATGCAATCCCGTTATCTTTTTTTTTTTCTCCCTGAAGAGAAGGCAGTTGCTGTTATTAAGGCAACTGGCTTTCAAGTGTGTTATTAAAGCATCTATTTTTAATTTGCAGGATTTAACTTTTCTCACAGGCTTGTGCACATGCTCACAGACCAACTGTGTAGCACAGAACCAGGGGCCTGCCATGATCTGATAAGGGACTTCCCAAAGTTGACACAGGAGGGGTGGCGGATGTGAAATAATCCAGCTTCTAACATGGCTTATCCTCTTTATTTAACAGCAATTAAAAACACAGGAGAGGGTACTGTCTGACTGGCAGGACTGACCTTCTCATTTAGCTAAATCTGCGTCCACGGGCAGTGACAGTCTCTTCTGTGAAAGGGAACTTACCTCAGCATGGTGGAGGTGCCTGTTGAATGAGGCTTCAAACTCATTCCTCACAGGAGGGAGGTCTCTGAATCACAGGGGGGCTCTGAAATTCAAAATCCACCTCTGCTGATTAAGAGAAAAATTGATTGTTAATGATGGTAATTCCCCCATCAGAATTCTCCTCGTTTTTCTCTGCCATGCAAAGAAGAAGCTGTTGCCAGTTTGCATTAGGATAAGTTAGCCTGTCATAGTTAAGCAGCAATGTGGTTGTCATTCACTGTTGATGACTGATTTCTCAGGAGATCATGCTTAAAGTGTTGCCTCCCTGTCAGACTGGAGCTGGGATTTAATCAGCATTGCAGAAAAGTGTCCACAAAAGACGGAAGGAATAATTAATGTAATAGACTTCCCTTTCTGCCTTGCTTGTGAGGCTGTTTTATTTCCCCATTAAGATCCCCCAATGTGCAAAGAACTGTTTGGGTCTGGCAAGCCAGTTCTGTGACAGCTATGATATTATCAGCAAGGTTTTTCTCTGAGAAGTTATCAGCTTTTTTTTCCTTTTGCTTCTTAGTGTGCTCTCAACCTGCCGTTGTGCCGTGACAAGAGTATTTATAACAGAGCATGTCATATCGCAGATGCACAGTGGTACTCGGGGACTTCATTACCTTCACAGGGAACTGAGATTGCTCATGCCTTGCAGTGTGTGTGCACGCAGCATTTACACACTACTCTGCACCTCTCAGTGACTTAACAAGTCCAACTTTCCTGTCAAAAAAAAAAAAAAGATAAAGCTGGATCAGGTGAAGGAAAGATGCATAGCAAGATTTAGCATCAAAACTAGAAAGCGAATTCTCTGTGATAAACACTGGATGCATCTACACAAGATGCTAACTGGACAGTATACCAATTCTACTGTACATTTGCATGTCACAAATGTGCATTTGTCAACTGCACGTTAGTCTCACTAAAAAACCGTGTGCTGGTACTACTGCGTAGTTGTGCTAGTTACTGAATATTGAGTTAGGGCCTGTTATTACAAGCACTAAATGCACAATAACAATGGTGCATTCACTTCTTTTTTCTTAAATCTAATTTAATCTGCCCTCCTCCTATGGAATTGCTTTGAAAGCAAAAAACCCACTCTCCAGTTGTTAGAAACAGTTTATAGTACAGTATATGCCAACAAAGTGAGCTCTGAAAAATTGTCTGTGCACTGGCCTAATAATAATGGCATTTCTTTCATGCTCTGTAATGTAATGGTTCATTTTGTCAAGTAGATTCAAAGATTCATAACTACAAGCTAATTGGCTGTGAATCTTATTTGTACCACAATCGGGGCAGACACCAATTAATACTTGGCAGACTCGAAAAATCATACAGCCCTTCTGACACTCAGAAGACACTATTCTTAATTTTTTTTTTTAATTCTCTTTTCATTTTTGAAGTCGAGAGAGATCAAACACCCAGATTGGACAGGAGACTAATACAGCTTCTTTGTAGATTCTCTCCAAACCTATTTAAAGAACAAAGCCTGAACACTAATGAATATGAATACCTTAATATGACACTTTATTACTGCCATTTGCTGAAGCTGGTAAGATAAATTTAAAAAATAGAAAGATGAAAGGTAACTTGGTGGGTTGAAGAATTACACGATTGTTTTAATTTAGAGATGAATTAGTACTTTGTTTAAGACTTTCTGATATGGTGATATAGGTAACTGAGGAAGAAGGGACACAAGAAAGGCAGTCAGTAAGCTGTGAGGCTCTTTCACATTACAGAAGAACTGATCTGATTCCTGATAACCTGAGTCAGGCAGATAATGTAAACACAGCAGGTACTAGCAATACATCAGATGCTCTGGCGACACAGACAAACATATCTCAAACTATTCCTTACTGCAGCAATTCCTCCCATGCCCTAGATGATATAACCCACTGGCCCTCACAGACTGGTGGCCTTCATTTTCTTGCAAGTTGTCAGTTTTCAAAATAGTGAATAACAAAATTAAAATTCCTATACTATAGAAAAAAAATGTGATTCACACTGAAGTGCGAATCTCCCCCACCCTGGCATTTCCTCCCTTGTTTTTGCTTATTCCTTTGTGTTAACTTGTTTACAAAGTGCTGGCAACTACCCACACTTAGGGATCTATTCCATTTACTGCTGTCAATGAAGAAAGATTTAAACACATGACTCCCAGTGCGGTCAATGGCAGTTAACCACATTGAGCCCCTATAGATGAATGCTGGATGACAAATCCCTTTATTTTCAGTAGGTGAATCATGTAGCAACATAAGGTCTTTTTCCTTCAGAGTGGAAGAAAAGCCAAGATAAGGATGGGGAAGCAAAGCTTTTAAAGCAACACTTCAGCTCTATGCTGGTTTCATGGGCAGTAGAGCAGGTTGCAACTGATTTGTATCATCACAGATCCTCACAGACCAGGAGGTGAGGCTCCATACCAGCTATGAACTGATGGCCCAGAGGAGTATTCCATCTATTGACTGTGAAATCCTATGAAATACGAGCTTTCATTTCTACCCAGGAAAACTTTTACAATCTTTTCTCCCATGCCTGATGAAGGGTGTTTGTGCCTGAAAGCTTGCAATTAAAGAATTTTTTTTGCAAAAATCTTGTTGGTCTAATAAAAGGTATCTTCTCTACTACGAGTCCCAGTTGCCTTTTCCTCTAAACCAATGTGGCTACAACCTGGATACTTGAAACTGTAGACACTTGAAAAGTCTAGGATCCAAATACAAGGCTGTATATTATGACACGTTTCTCTGATGGCCTGGGGTCAAATCGCAATTCATCCTGCTTGCTCACTTCGTGCCAGGTGAAGCAACAGATGATTTGTTCAGTCACTAGGAAAATCAAATTGGCTGCTCTGTGGCTGTATAGCATGACCACCATCTAAGGTTAGAGAAGGAGAAAGAAATGGCAGCAATAGTACAGAAACACTACAGGTTTGGCTCTTCCTAGATTTCCAGCGCATTTGGAGACTGGATGAAAAAAAGCAGCAGCAAGGTGCTCTGCTTCGTATTTATGCCATATTACTTCTTGCATTTCTTCAGTGGAGGCACTCAGGTTATATGGGGTTTTTCAGAAACTAATGGCAATTTTGAAATAAAACCACTTTGGGTGTTATAGTCATGTACTGGCCACATTACTGCTTGACATAGTCATAAACAATAGATGTGTTTGACAGTGCCACCACCAGTGTTCCCTGCTCTGTGGCTTCCTGCTTTGTCACAGACATACACCATAGGCAGTCATTTTGCCATTAGTTTCTGAAACACCCTTGTATAAGAAATAGGTTGATCAGATAAGCAGTATCCGAATTCTTGGGATCTTAATTGAATCAGTCAAATTCCAAACCTTCTGAGATTTGCTCTTGACTATCATGAGGTATTAAGGATCTGTTCTTCAAAGATGCAGAGCCCCCTGAACCCAAGCCAAAAAAGATGGAGAGCTACAGGTACTTAGGATTCCTGTGATCAGACAGTTCCAGTTCTCTGGGGTCCATCAGAATCTCAGCAGTGATTTCGTTTTCCTCTGACCCAGGAAATCTTTTATGCACCCCTGGTGGAAAGCCATGAAAGAAACATATTCTTAAAAGGGGCACATGCTGGGATGCTCCCAGGGTAACACAGCAGAATTATTAGCAATTAATCCCTTTGCTCATTTCATTTGTTGTTTAAAGGATGTCAGCATCATATTGTGAGTGAGAAGTGTACTCAGAGACACGCAGCTTCATCAAATTAGTTCCTTGCAATAGGTTATAGATCAAAACATCAATGAGATGTAAGATTAGTTAATATGCCATAAGCAGCTAAATGAAGTTTTGCATTGAAATGTGTGATTTGCTGCACCTTAAACAAGGGGATAATTGCTTCTCTAATTATAATTGAGCTGTTTCTCATGGGAGTTTAATTGGAGAACAGGGCAGAGCATACAACTTAGTGACCCAGTTGAGCTTAAAAAATGCCCTTTTATTTATCCACATTTTTGTCTTTAATCATGAGGGAGGAAAAAACCCATGAAGGAGTCAAATGGCGAAAGAAGTTGTTTTGCCAAGGTGTGTAGCACAGATTTTATTCAGTTGCTGTAGCCTGGGCAAAAAGCTGGTGGCAGCTGGGGACTTCTCCAAATAGGTAGCATCAGGTGGCTGCTCCATCTAATTGATTATTAATATGACTGCTGTTTGCTTTGTTTCATGAGAGCAGCTTATGTTTTGCTGCAGTTATCCCTTAATTGGAACTTCATGTGTATGCATTTCCATGTAGGTATATTGTCACCCAGGCAATGTTTTAAATTCCCTGCAGGAAAAGAA